TCATCAAACCAAAAAATTCATTTTACGAGAAATGACAAGTTGGTTAGATATCGGAAAAAGACCCGAATCTAAATGTTCAAGACAACTTTAAAGACCCATCTAAACTTGCAATTTCGTCATCCATTACGTTCAGATCACGCATAAACCTAAGCGACTCATCAAAATTGAAAAGCAAAAAAAGCAGTTACTAGACTAAATCAGTGTTATAGGTACAGAAACTGTAAGAAAGTACTTACATCGTCTACTGACTTCCCAGATAAGGCACTAACCACTTTGTTTGCTTCCTCCATATCAACATCCAGCCCCACAGAACCTAGAATACTCCATGAACTATTTCATAGAATAAATGCATTTGGAGTTGAACTTTTAAGCAGCCTCCATCCAGTGAGGTATAACAATGCTTTAAAAATTTTATCCCTGAGGGCAATTACTACTAAGTGGTAAAAGCCGTTCCTAACCGTCCATAAGTAAACAGATTCCGTCAGTAGAGAATGCGATTCATGGACTGAGAAATTGTTTGAAAATAATTTTGAGTGATCACCCGGCGGAGTAAGCTTCCTGAAGCATGGCTTCTATCAACATTCGCATCAGTTTTCCGCTTAGAGCAGGACGAAAACGTCGAACTGCATGCATCACTGTACATTAGGCACGAAATGCTTTCGTGCTTAGCGTAGAACAACGTATACAGTCCAATGCTTTTGTTCTCTTTTGGGTAGAAAACTGAGATGACTGCTGGTAGAGATCTTTTTTCACTCACTCAATTCACAAAACTTCTCCCTAACCGATTACACCTTTTCAGGACTGAGGAAGTGTTTAAAAATAATTTTGAGTGATCACGCGGCGGAGTAAGCTTCCTGAAGCAAGGCTGCTGTCAACATTCGCATCAGTTTCCCGCTTAGAGCAGGACGAAAACGCCGAACTGCATGCATCACTTACATTAAACACGAAATGCTTTCGTTTTAGCGCAAAACAACGTATACAGTCCGATGTTTTTGTTCTCTTTTGGGTAGAAAACTGAGATGACTAATAATGGTTACCTCCGCGTGTAAAACGCAAGTTTTTTTAGAGGAGAAGCGGAAAACGCAATCCTTGCCTGAGGATGGACAGGAATTTCCCAGTTACTTAGCCAAAAAATGTAGGTTTTCCAATTCTCAGTCGTTATAAGGGGACAATCACAAAGAATCCCAAAAAATACTCTTTTCAGCCGGTTAACTTGACCCAGTAAAAGCTAAAAGTAGTTTTCCAAAATCAACCGTTGATGCGAGGAACTTGCGACTTTGACTAGTTTTCCACTTGAGATTGAAAAGGTTTACTGTTTTATACGACCCTCAAGTACTGGCATGAAATGCACACTAGAAGCTTACTGCTTCCAACGCCTCTATTTAAGAAAGTACTACGAGATGTTCTTCTAGCGTTAACAAACCTTCATTAAATGGGCACAACTTGAATTTCTAACCAAGGATCCATCAACTTGAAACGTAACCAAAGTAGTACAAGTGTTCAGATATAGGCTTCATTATACCCAATTTTAAGGTTCAACTTGGTAGCCAGATTCCAAGCTGAGAGGTTATGATACAGCATCAACAACTTTAAGGAGCTTTTTATGTTTTTTAAAGGTAACCAACGTCATTTTCAGAAAAAATCCAATAAAAAGGTCAGTTTGAAAAAACTTAAAAATAAATTAAGGAGTCGAAAAACCTACCCAAAATCTTTTCTATATCTTTAGCAGTCGGAGAATCATTCCCACCCATCGTTGACAGAACGTAAGCAGCTAAGTACTTCATAATGAATTAAAATTCTAGAAACCCCTGGAAAAGGACGAAGATACGAGTACAAAGATTGTTTGGAAGGTTACCGGTTTCAAGAAATGGATATAACGCGGACATAGTTATATCAGTAGCTATCAAAAAGGCGTCATTAAAATGACAGCAAAGCAAAAATAAGCAAAGAAAACAAAGGTGCACAAAGCCTTATTGTTAACAGAGCAAAACTTTAAAAACACTAAACTTTATCCCGAAAATTTTCCACTGCCAACTGATGTCAAACATTCGGCCAAAGAAAATGACGTCTGGATATCAGAGTTCGACAAAAAAGTGCTTTGTTTTCACAATCAACGGAAACAGGGCACATTAAGCACGATGTTCTGAAACCCATATTCAACGTTCAACAGGCAATATAAACGGTACGCATAAAGTATACACACATGTAATACTACCGTATATAGATAGTCGTTGAAAACCCAAAATGATATTAACATAATTTAATGCTTTTAAATTTTATTGAAAATTGGCAGTTCTTCATTGGTTATCGTCGTGAGACGTTCTTTTGAATTCAAAGAAATTTCTTGAAGCCCCATATTTTTGTTGTAGATCTGCCAGCACTGCAGAGGAGGTTGGAACTGCTGCAGACTGGTCGTTGACTACTGGGAGTTTTTCAGTGATTCTGCATTATTTTATCGTTAGGCCAAACTAATAAATGTCATCCGTTTTATTGAATGAATTGAGCGAGCTTTCAGAATTAGTCGCTACTTCCGTGTCAGCATACCGGATGTTTTTGGATCGAAAGTTTCAATTTTAAATTTCATTACGAAATGCTTACAAGCACATGATTTTAGGAAGAAATATTTTTCCTGCCAAAAACCCTGTATTTAGAGTAGGTGTCGGGGAATTGCATTTTTGAAAAAATTTTTCTTTTATGATTTATATTCTTTTAAAATACTAATCATATTTATCGTTATTTTGCTCAAATATTTTGCTGTATTTCGCATTGATGAATTGAACTGTTTTTGCATAGATGTACATTATTACCTGTATACTGGAGGCTATTTTTTACACAGCAACGGTCATTATCTGAACTACTGCAATTTGACTTTTGTAAACTGTTTTAATCGGTGTCTTTGTGTATCCTGCCTGCTTCCTATGTTTTAGAGGAAACTATGGAAGTGATTAATTGAACAACACTTTTAATTATTTGTTTGTTTTTTTTCGTTTACCTTTTTCTGGAAATAGCTGCTTTGGATTAATTTTGTTTTTCATCAAAATGATGGTGATAGACAGCGCTGTTAGTTAGGCTTTTGAAATTTTTTGTTGGTCAACTGTACTTGTGTTGTAAAGTCTTTAATTCAGTTTTTTGTCAGTTTCTTCGGAAATAGAATAGATGAGAC